TGATCAAAACGCGTAGAGTGGGCACCCGGCCCAGGAATTGCAGCATTTCGGGGGGCTGGAGAAAGCAGTTCTCCAAGATGAGCGTCTTTAACGCACACTTGGATTGTTGTTCGATGTTCGTGACGAAGGGCATGAAGTCGAGCGTGCCAGCGGATTCCTGCGAGATATGGAGGGTCTCCAGAGACGGCATCTTGGCGTTGTAGGCAGCCCTGTAGAAAGAATCTACCGTGTCGACCTTCCAGCTGCGAACATGAGGCAGATGGAAGGAGCCCCATGGGTCGAAACGGTTGCAGTCGAGATGGGTGATGTTTGAGTATGCAGTCGCAGTCCCTGCGACGACGTTCCATAGCCGCAGGGACAAGATTTGGTCCCGCGGAAGAATGACGTCCAACGCCCTTACGCTGCCCGAAAACGCAACTCTTTTCAATCGCGGGGCGATTTCGAAGGTATCCGCAAGTCGTTCCCACCCATTGCAGATTTCCAAGATCTCCAGACGGGACAGTCGTCCGCGGAAGCCCCTGATGCTGGGAATCGCGAAACCTGTCGCAAATGGATGAAGTGCGATGCGATATAAACGCTCGGAATGTTTCGCGAGCAGCGCGATCTCGTGCTCGCCGGTTGGTCCGCCCGCAATAGGTCGCTGTGTCTTGATTTCCACAGTCAAGGGACACTCCCTTGACTGTGTGAGGTACCATTCCAGTTGTTCGATGGTGTAATTTCCGCTGAACAACGTGAAGGAAAACGACGACCAAAGGAGCGGAGTGACAACTGCCACCGCCCTCCAGTGCTTGGATACTTTGCAAAGTATCTTGGAACCGATGCCGTCACCAATCTGTCGTATCTCGGGTAATCGCGAGGTGGGCAACGTCGTGCAAATTTCGGAAGAGCTAGGGGAGGGACTCGGAGCAAGAATCGTTTCGCCAAAGATCTGGGATAGGATCTCGACCGGGAGCCCGCTGACAGGGCCTTCCAGAACGCCCTGTATCACTTCACAATCGGACATTTGTTTCAGAAAGGGCTCGAGGAGGGGAGATTCGGAGCCCATCTGCGCAATGATTAGGTTCCAGCAAATACAACTGGTAATTATAAAATACGCACAGAATCCATGATCGACTCTGTATCCTCTGCGAGTCCTCTAGTTATCCGGGATAGAGCTTCCCAACGACTTAACGGATCCCTTCTCGGATTCGCTGTACAGTAACCCTTGCAGTAACCAACGATGGTTTCGCAGGGTTGGAGGAGGAAGAGGAGAGTCGGTGGTGAGAAACAGGGATAGAAAGGCCCCGGTTAGGTTAGGAAAGACAGGGGGATTAACAGGGTGACTGACCACCATAACGGAGGTCGAAGTGGAGCCCTGCCAGGATTGAAGTGACGCTGTGTCAGGCGGGCTATCGGCCCGAGCGTCTGGCACAGCCTCTCAATCAGCCCGCTAACTTGCTTACCTCCCGAATCTCGGTCTCAAAAAAACTCCCCAGCCAATCGGGATCCTTATGGCGCTTCACGCCTTGGGCGTGAAAGAATCCAGAAACTAAACGTGCAGCTCCGGTAATTAAAATTTCAACAACGCCGAGATTACCGATCTCTCGTCGGAAGATTGAACAGAACGATTTCTATCTTTTTTTTCGATTATCTCTGATTATAGGTTGGAATCTAGATTCTCGAAACAGTAAGTCGTACGGTTTAATTTCAAAAAACACGTTGAATCGCTTAAGTGCGGGTTTCGTTCCGAACCATCTCGCCTTGGGCAGCGTTCTGTAACCAAGAGTACCTGGGTATCACTTCGATGTTAATCTAGGTTCCCTGCCAAAGTGGATCTAGAGAAGGAGGACTCGGAGGAGGATGCATTCCGCGGTGGTCCCATCGAGGAACGTACGAATCAGGAATCGATATCACATTTGAAATTTGAAGGGGGGCTTACGCCTTGAATGTTTGAAACGCCGGGCCTGATCGGCCTGGTTCTGAGTTGTGTGGTACATATCAGGAGGAAGATGCGTAAACGAGATTCTATCCGGGTAATATCGAGTAGGCTGTAGCAGTCCAATGATGTGTCGTTTCATGTTGGAATCGGTTAGCTAACGGAGAAATTCTAAGACAGTTTTGAGACATCCAGACATCCCAACGGGAGGGACGTATTTTGAACCAATACTGTCAGTATCAACGCGGCGAAGCTGCCAGAAGGGCGTAAGGTAACGAAGAACAGGATTTGACGAAGAGACGTACCATATTGGCTGAGCTCAATCGAGGAAAATATTGTGCCACATGATTATATTCCTCAGACGCAATCTCGACCACAGCGGGGGGGTGTATAAGAGAACGGATCATTTGGAGTTTAGATCTGGCCATAGGCGATGAAATGGTGAGGATAGCGGTCTTACGAATGCTATTTGTGGGGTTAATCGTCGTCGAGTGCCTCTGGGAGCATGGCGGCAGCTATAAATGTGGAGCAGCGCGAGGTCCAAGAACAGAGAGAGGTCAATTATATCGTCATCTTCTGAAACAGATGATGAGCAACTGAATTCGATATGGTCACGTGAAGTATGCCAGAGCACTCAAATTCAGAGCAATAAGCGTTCAGAAGGCAAAAGCGAGCATTTGCCAGCGGACCATCTTTGGTGGACCGACAAATCAAAAGAGAGCATATCAGGCAGCACTGTGACAGTCCTCTCATTCAAAAGTAGTGATGTGCAGGGCTCGGCTTCAAGCCCTGATGCCCGCCAGGCTGGGCCCTGGTAAGCCCGAGCCGAGCCGAGCCCGACGCAGGGCTTCAGCGGGCCTAGGGCTCGGGCCTGGACAATGGCAAGTCCGAGCCGGGCCCTGAAGCCCGGGCCTGACACATATAAAGGCAGGTTTCATCCTAACTTTTGGATCGAGCAGCTTTTACATCGAGTTAGTGAGTCCATTCGGTGTATGCAGTGGTTCCAGTTATACTACCCACATTATCGACACTGGCATGTTTTTGTAAGGTTCAAAATTTCAACTCCCGAGCTTGAAAATGGAATTGTCAATCGATCGCAATCTCCCGCAAGCCCGGCTCAAGCCCGCGCCTCGGGCTTGAGGCTTGGGCTTGGGAAATCTGAAGCCTAAGCCCCGTCAAGCCGAGCCCAAGCCCGGGCTTTCAGGCCGAGCCGGGCCCTGAATATCACTATTCAAAATGGACGATAATCTGTAGAGATCCCAAACGGTCACAGAGGATCTACATGCACCGTTCAAGCAGTTCATGCATGTCCAGCTGTTTGGAATTTCGTTCCATCGTGGACTTCGTAAAGCCTAGAGGAAAAGCAAGAGGAAAGCGCAATGTGTGTTTGTAGCTGTTGCTTGGTAGTCACTGCTGACCGTGCCGAGATGCCGACGGATTTTTCAACCATTGAAACCCCAATTTCTCCTCGGTTACATCGGGTATTGCTATATTTTGTACTAAGACTCGATTCGGCCGGAATTTGCAGTTCGAGATGTCCCGATTAACTCCTGCATTGGATTCAGTCCATTCAAATGCGGCGTACAACTTGCAAGCCAGGCCCTATCATCTGCCAGGGGAGGATCTCCGTATGCCGACCGATTGACAAAGCCCTGAGAGCGGACAAATCGAAGGAGAGGATCTCCGGTAAAATTGACCTCTGAGGGACGGTGATCTGCAATAGTCTCGTAGACAGACGCTTCAACTTGAAGCTCGTGCCTCGCTTGTTGATCTGCAAGGACTCTAAATTGGATGTAGGAGTGATGGGAATGTTGTGTTGAAAGGCGGAATGGATGGTCCTCGAAGAGTATATCAGATCGATAGATGTAATGCTGCGACTGCAACGATCCCAGATGTGCTGAAAATAGACGGGGTAGATGAAAGCGCACTTAAGTGTCACGCTGCAGAGTTGGCAGGCTGAGCAGCTCTTCTAAAGCGGGCACAACAAGGGACATGTCCGGGGTCATTTCGACCACGGCATGCTTGAGATGTGTGAATGGAAATTTGCAGATCGCTGAAAAGCCATCTGTGGATAAATCTGTTTCGATTCCAAGTCGTTGGATGTGTCGGATGAGGTGGGGGAAGTGTGTAGTATCTCCTTCAGCGGTGGCCATCTGCGTCTTATGTTGCCAATGAGGCCTCTCTGAATAGATGAGTCTCAGCTGCAGACGCCCAAGAACGAGACACCAAGGCGCAGGCCTTCAAACCAGATCGCAGAGGAACTCTATGCAGCGTTCGAGTAGTTCCTGTATGGCCAACGGATTAAGAGGGACCTCCATTTTGGATTCGTGGGGCCTACGTGTCGCGCGAGAGGTAGTGATAAGCTTATAGGTGAGCGACACGTTTATTTGAAGCTAACTCGGCCGCTCTCGCGCCGAGATTACCTATGCAAAGCCGCCAGACAATTTTTCAATTTCTTGCCAAGGTTTAACGTTCAAGAGTCGGTCTGTACACTGGATATTGGCATAAACTACTACCTATACCGCAACGGTCAGACTTCTCAAAATGGTAAATCTCCCACTGAAGATATTTCCCCGAGTGTGATTTATACATCGTAGCCGACTTTGGCATTGAATATCCCTGGTCTCGTTGGACGAGGGCTTAAATTTTCAAACGATGTGCCCGCATATCATCCAGTTTTCCCCGCGGTATAAGGGGTACAGGTTTCAACCTCATTCAGTAGCAAGCAACCCGGACACCTTTTTGGTGCGACTCCAAGCGCCGCAAACTTTGCGGCTAATCTCCGTGAATCTCGCGAGGAGTTGTTTAAGAGAATTCTCTGTGCAACTGATTGCTTGTAATAATTGACGCAGCAACCGTGCGAAATATGGTGGAATGATCCTCCCTCGGAGTCCCTCCTGTGCTAAGGCAGGCTGGAATAATTTCTCTTCTTCCCATTACAGGAGCCGCGCGACAAGATAAAGAAAAAATACCACAGGTGAAACTTCGCGAGGCAGAGAGGCCTGCCGTAACTCGAAGTTTCTACGCGGACGCCTGCTTCCACGGCTTGGGGGTGCATCCCCGGGTCCGGCCCTCCTGATTTTTGTGCCACTAGGAGGAATCGAGCCTCCGACCTCCCGACGTCGAAAATCAAACGTTTGTGGGCGATTCTACCACTGAACCATAGTGGACACAAAAGCACTCCTGATTTAGGTCGCGACATATATCTCATTAGTAGGAGGCAAGGAAGGAGTAAATAGGTATTCTCCCATTTCTTTCATAAAAGATGTCTACAGGTGTCGCGGAAACGCGGCAACACTTGAATGAACATTAATCAGACTCCCATCACCAAGTACTTACGCGATTCCCCTTGAGGAAGGGATCGACGTTGTTGACGCGTCAGTGGCGGTGCAGCGATCAATCACGTTCGCGATCTCACTTTCTTCTCGTTTGCCACTGCGATAACCTCTGTTGCTTCGGTATTCTTCCCGCCTAGTGCAAAATGGCTCCAGACGTCACGGCAACCATCAAAACGGCCATCCTCGACTACATCGCCTTGGCCGAGTACGTGGTCGGGCCGATGCCAGCTCTTAAAGAAGCCATATGGACCAAATTGCGCCTGAGCGCGATTGAGTGGCGGTCGATGGAGTCTGGAAAGGTCCATCCAAGGAAAACCTACAAAATGATTGGGAAGGCCCAGCTACGGCATCATATCTTCCTACTGGGCCAGGATGAATTAGCGGACAAACCAGAAGGTTACGAATCAGAGGTGAGAGTCTTTCTCTATATTATCAACCTCTAATAAAACTCACCACAAGTGGCAGACTGTCGATACTATTCTCGGTAGTCAAGATATACTCCGTGCACTACTCAAGAAGCTCGACGAGTCTCTGGTCGAGAAGAACGTCAAAGTCGATGCTGGCTTTCATGCATTGGTGGGAGCTATTTGGATAGAAGAATATCGGCAGGATAGCAGTGTAATGTCGGGATAGCTCATGCCGATATTTTTACCGCTCCGCGAGGCGGCAGATAACAGTTATCTCCTTCAGTGCGTTTCACTTCCTACTTTCCCTGGATGAAAGTATTCCATCTGAATAATTGTAGCCTCGCGCCTCCGGCTACTTCTGCTAGTAATAGGCCCGAGCGACCAACAGCTAGTATGTGATCTGCTCTGTCTTTCGACCTGGCGTTGACGTTTTGTGCAGCAATCCGTCTGCTTACCCAGCTTCGGAAACTGCAGGGTCCCCCGCCCGTGGTAATTCCATCTTTCTTTCACCGAAGGTTTGGTCCCTGATTTTCTTTAGACACCCTCGCTCGCCGCGTCGACGATTAGACCAGATCCCCCGGACTCTCCCTTTGCGGGCATCTTACGCAGCAAGACCAGCCAAGCGGCCAATTGGGTCGACGGGCGGTTCTTCCAGGTACGCGCGAGTAGATTCAATAATCCCCAACCTGATTTCATCGCGCGAACAGGACGACGACTGCCTACGGGTACTGGTAGACCTGAAAGGCCTACTTGAAGAGGTACCGGTCTTGCTTTCTCCCCCAATGAATATAATTTCATCCTGGATTTAGAGCACTGCATACTGGGCCAGATTTCCCCTGCTTGCGACGGACGTCCCGGAGCCTTCAGACGAAAAAATTGAATCAGAAGTAGAGGCGAGTTTGAGCATACATTTGTAATCTAGTGAACACCATTCTGACGAGATTTTATGTAAATTTTCTAGAGAGAAGTGGACGCAAAAGTACTGAATACCCATCTGCGCCCTGTTCAGAGATTAATCTATTCTGTTCAGGAAATCTTGACAGAGGGATGGACCGTTGCTGCAGTGAAGACTACAGGAGCGAGTCGTTCCCCTTTGGCAGTTCTCAATAACAGAGCGGAGAATAAGAACGTTCTTAAAATTTCTATCCGCCCGTAATCCTATCGCGCTCGTTTCTTTCTTATCTCTACTGTCAGCACTATTAATTTTAGGTTCAGTCTTCCGTGTGTCACGTACTGTATATGTCGAATTGTGATTTTGGTTTTTCACCTTTCCCCTAGCTTCCACAAGGAAAATGATTACTGAATAACGCTTGCCTCGACCGACCAAATGTCGACAAACCAGTTAAACAAGGTCAAAGTATACCGCAGGCCCACTGCCTTCGATCAACTAGTCGCTGTGACGGTCCAGAGTTCAACTAAGCTCACAACGAACCGTTGCGCTCTCTATATCTTGGGCGTGTCCTAATCAGTAACTTGAAGGTCTCATCGTTTAAGTTAGAGCGAATTAAATATGTGACATGAGGCCAGTATATCCACAAATTCATCAATGACAGTTGTATAAGTCGTATTAAAGAAGGCTAATTGGACAATGAACCGACAGGAAAATTCTGGAATAGGTAGTTGTGAAACATAAAGACTGGTGTTCGAGTCGAAGAGCTTACGTTGAACCATTGAGGATCAGAATCGACACGGCGAAGCTACCAGAGCTGCGTAAGTTAGTGGAGAGCAGGAATGGACGGGAGGACACACCATCCTCGAGTTCATTCGAAAGAAGCATGGAGATGCGCGAGTGTATTTGCCACGGTCCATTTCAAGCTCAACAACGAACGGCTGGTGCAGGGGGAGATTCGATAATTTGGAGTCGAACTGCTCATAGCCGAAGTTGTCGAGGAAGGCAATATTGTTTATCACGATCCTGCGGATGCGATTTGAGGCAGTGATCGTCGAAAGAGTGTCTAATGCCTTTTGCAGATGTATTTCGATAGACATTCGGAGAAGCACAATTTTAGGGAACAAAGAGAGGTCGATGATTTCGGTATCCTTCAGAAGCTTATAAGACACCAAATATGTCATGTAAAATGCACACACACCGTAACTGTTAAGTTGAGGGCAATGATGATTTTGAAAGCAGGCACCACGCTCTGCCAGCGGACTGCTTCCGTGTACACGTTCTGTCCAATCGACAACAACTTGAGACCCGTTAAATCGAAGGGGCAGACATCGTGCCTCAGCTCACTCCCAGGATGTACGACCTGCAGCGATTCAAGTCGAAGGGTAGGCACGGCGTATATGCAGCGGTGGGAGCTGGAATGGTCGCCCTTCCAGTAGTAGACGAGGTCGAGGTGTTTAATACTGGGAGAGCAACTGTCCCAGATCTGCTGAAACACAGGCGCATCGAAAAATGCGCACGCTATTGCCACGCGAACGAGCGAAGGCATGCTGAGCAGCTGCTGAATGGAACTCGCGAGTGGCGACTCGTAGAGAGGCATGTGAATAGATACGTGCCGGAGGTGCGTGAATGGAAAATTGCAAATCGTCGAAAAAATTTCGATATTGGGCAAACTTGCTATGATGTGAAGTCGGTGGATGTATCGGATGAGATGCGGGGAGGTGTGGCGCGTGTCCATGAGTCGCGGCCACAGTCGCTCCATCCTAAGATATTCGAGAGATTTCCCTGAATACATGAGGCTGGGTAGCGGATGCCCAAGCACGAGAAACCAAGGCGCAGGCCTTCAACTCGCGAGGCCGATCCCAGAGGAGGTCCACGCAGTGTTCCAGTAGTTTCTGTATGAACAACGGGTTGAGATTTCGTTTTATCTGCGGACCTACGACTCGAGGGCGTAGAAGGAAGAAAGGAAAGAACGGTGATGTGGTTATTCGTATGTTGGCAGTGCAGTGTCAACCGCCGAGATGCCGATATTAGCGATTTGGTGAAATCAGGGTGGCTAAAAAGCTCGTTCCTCATATCATCGAAAAATCCTAGAACGCTGCAAGACGCTGCACCAGCAGCCTGGAGAAACAGCACCCACGACTGGCGCAATTAAATTCCCATCTGTTGTCCATCACAAAGTTAACGAACCAGGCTTTGACGTGGCCACAACTTTCTTTTCAGAACGAGGAACGAGAGAGGCTGCCGCTTGATGTTGTCGGGGTGACCGGCGCCAAGAGGTGATTGATCTCTGGATCGCGGACTCTGATGTCCGCGAAGCGAGATCAACGGCATCATTTGGCGGATTCGGCACCTCTTGCTCTAACTCTTGCTCATCTCAATCCTATATGAGCCACAATTTACTGCCACAAATGCTTTCTATCAGTGGCTAGAAGCCTACGTTCTACGAAGAAACTCACCAAAGCAACTATGTAAATAGATTATGCACCATATGCAGTTTTATGTTTCAAAATGAGTTCAGAAGTAAGCTATTAAGTATTGAAAGAGATTCAAAACATATTAGGGACTGAGTGCGCGACACGTTGAGGAGCGCGGCAATGCAACACAACTGACTCGGATGAGCCGTTGATGAAATTGATGCGGGTTGCCTTTTCTGGGGGGGGGGGGGTCGTGGGAAGGAGTCCATGATCCAGAGATCAATCACCTCTTGACCGACGCGGTTTGAAACACGGTGCACGTGACTCTTTGTTGACGCGAATGTCACATGTGACCGTTACGTGACGCTCCCTCTCTCTGCCACCACGAGAGCATGTCCAAGTCTCAGTCCGGCCTAGGCTCCATTAAACGAGACTGGTCTGCCAACTCATTTAATCCGCCCTCGGCCTCCCAGGAAATCGAATGGCTGCCCACTCCTCCCAAACAAGCGACCTCGTCTCACCAAACGTCGGCGTCGTCGTCGTCGTCGTCAACGGTAGAGTTGACGGGGAAGCAGAAGCGTCTTAGAGACATTCAGAACGCGCTCAACAACAGATCCACCCCCGTTGTCGCGCAGCCTCTCTCCAAACCCAAGCGGACCAGCGACACTCAGTATCCCGATACGTCGGAATCACTGCCCCCGACGAAGAAAGCCAGACAGCTTCCTCCTGGATACAGAATTGACGACCCAATCACCCAAGCCACTAACTTCACCTCCAACTCCCGCACCACAAAGACAAAGCCCACGTCCATCGCCCCGCCATCGAGCAAACAAGTGTCCAAGATGTTTTTGAGCCCGGAGCAGAAGCAGATCCTGAAGCTGGCTCAGGATGGTAACAGCCTGTTTTACACTGGTAGTGCTGGTGAGTCTACGCGCATATATCCATGTTTTGCAGCATTGACCAAATGACTTGGCAGGAACTGGAAAATCTGTTCTGCTTCGTGAAATAATCAAGACCTTGAAGCAGAAGCATAGCAGGGCCGCTGACGCGGTCGCAATCACCGCCTCGACAGGTGAGCGTCCGTCTATTTAACGGCTTGTTCTCCTCTCTAACATGTAC